GAGTGGTTACTTTAGTCTTATCGAAATTCTTATGTCCAAATTATTTTATAAATTTTACTGCAAAAGAAATTGAATTATAAAGACTAAATGAGTCATATCCCTTATCTAAAGATACATATTTGCTTAAATACATTGCTTTTTGGAATGAAATTGATACTTTTGAAAATAAAGCAGGCTTGGTGCTTGTATAGTTTCGCCAGGAAGTCACCCATTTGGTCATCAGTGTTCCCTAGTGATTAATTTGATTCATTTTTGAAATAAAGTTTGTTATAAACCAGGAAATTTAATTCTTAAAAATTTAAAAAGCTTTCAAAATCTGATGAAATTACAGACTTCTTACTTTAAAACTGGTTTTAAAGTGTAAGCCCAGATTTTCGTAAAAAAAATGAATGAAAATAGTTATGGATCATCATTCGCACATACATATAACCAGTTAAACATCTCAAAAACAAAACTTTCTTTAAAATTTCCAGTTCTTCCTTGATTAAATCTCCTTGAAGGACAATGGCAGCAAATCAAGGAACTGGCTTCCTAATTACAAACCTCTATAAACGCCCAGCGGGTTTATGGGTAGAGGAAACATGTAATTCTATCTCCCGAGTGTCCAATTGATACGCACTTATCGCCCGGTTCCTGATCTGCTCCCGATTCCCCTCCTCAAAAACCGCATAACTCAACCCTTTCTCCCCCTTCTGCTTCTCTCTTTTTCGGGCAAGGCCATAATAAAAGCCAAAATATAAAAAATACAACAAAAAAAAAAAAGTAAAATAAAAACAAGGAACCAAAAGCGGACAGCGACAATTCTTCTCCTCGTCTGTCTATGCTTTTTGGGGAGCAGATGTTACTTTTGGCGGCTCAAAAACGAGAATTCTTTGAGCCGGCTCCGTCTGCGTCCTTGTCTCCTCGCCTGCATCTCCTCCGCTCTGATCCTTGGATTCTTCGATGATTCTCCTCCTTCTCCGGCTGCTGCTGCTCAAAAAAACAAAACCAGAAAAATAAAAAGGAAAGGCTCACACACAGGACAGGGGCAGGGGCGGGAGAAAGGAAAAAGCAAAGCACTTGTTCCAGCTTGAGCAGCTCAACGAGATATTCAGGCACTGAAAGAAAATCAAGAAAATATGGGAATATAAAAAAAAATGTATTTATTATCTAATTTGGTTTGTTTAAAAATTTGAAAAAGCGGACAAGTGCTCTCTTTTCATTTTAGAAAAAAAAATTCTCCAAATTGTTTAGATATTATGCCAGTGTTTTCCCGAATTCGTACTTGGGAATCATAGGAGCACTTTGCTATAATTTGTATTACGTTTAATGTAGAAAACCCTAAGGAAATTTTCAGTCTATCTGAAAAATATTTCATTTTATTAAGTTTTAAATATACTAAACATAAGTTTCCCTCTCTTACTTCCAGGAATAAACAACTAATAAACTACTACTACTATTTTTTCTCAGTGTAAATGGGGATGTATTTCAAGTGCGGAAACGGGAAGAGGGTAAGATAGAGCCGCAGAGTCCGGGGCAGAGACAGGGCGATTGCACCGGGCGGCTGTGTCAGATTCAGGTTTTGGTTTTTGGCGCAAAAAATGTGTGTGCTCAAAATTACCAGCAGAGCAGCAGCAGGTATTCGCACTCGTATACGTATTCGTATCCGTGTGTCTCCGTTGATGAGGGCAGCCGCATCCACATCCACATCCTCATCCACAGCAGCAGCCGCAGAAATTGGCGCAAAAATTACAGATGCCTCAAAAAAAAATAATAATAAAAATGAAAAAGCGAAAAAAAAGGAAAGCAATTGCAATGAGGCACAGGTTCTGCCATTTGTGTGTGCGAGTGCTGAGCTGAATTTATAATGCATATCAAAAACCAAAATTGTATATACACTAGATGGACTATAGAGTGCTGCCACCCAATACCCCACCTCCTATTTGCTTCCCTATGTGCTCACACCCCCCCCTACATTCTAGCCCATAAAATGCAGTCATGCACCAAAAATAGCTTATTGACATCGATACTACACGTAGAAGAAAAACTAATCAATTTCAAAATAATATTTAGAGAGAAGAAGAAAGTAGAAGAAGAATATTAAGAGTTAGAAATCATAGTATTATTTTCACTTGTCATTTAATGTTTGTGTGTTTCTAGCATGCAAAATTTAACTCTACTTATGTCACTAATTTTTTAGTATCTATAAAATATCATCCTTATTTCTCCCTGTGCAAAGTATCCGCTAGATACACTCCACCCAAAGCAGTGCCTAGCTGTTGTTGCCACGTGCATGTATATGTATATTTGTACATATTGCAGATTGCAGTCGCCGACGGGACAGGGTAGAGCTCTCTTTAATGAGCTCATTTATTAATTAGACAAACGTGACGTCAGCGCAGACTGAACCCCCCGGCTGCATAAAGGCGGCAGCGACCTTTAAAACAGCAGTTAACCTCAGGAACAGCGCGTGCGACAGTTGAGTTCCATTGATCGGTTCCGTTTCATTCATATATAACCATTCATTGTACCCTGGGCTCTATACTTGGTACGTGGGCCATAAACTAATTTCGGGCACAGGGAAAACAGCTTGAGTTTTTCCGCAGACAAGCTGCGTTCGACAGACGGCGCAGGCAGGAAAAGTAGCCCATCAGTAGAGCCAGACACGTATCTGAGAGATAAAAATAGAGGCAATACGTGCATTCAAATCAGCGCAGCCACGAAAAAATCAAAAACAAGTAAAGGCTGAAACGCATTTCAGCTGAAATGACGCAGCAGCACCAACTGGCGGGGTTTTTTCGGAAATTCGAACAAAAAAGGTACATAGAAGGGAGGAAGATTAAGGGAAAAATCATAGAAAGGGGATATCTGCAACTTTCACACATTTCCAACTGCATTGTTCCCTTTCGAGTGGTTCCATGTATTACTCGTATGGCTTGTTTTTGGCGCGAGGGTTGGTTTTGCATAGTTACTTGGCGGCACCACTCTGACCTGTGCCACTGATCCACCCGATCCCATACCCTCCGATCCCGGATACAACTCGATCGCAACCCTCAACCCCTGTCCTTGTTTGTGTGTTCACCTCTCTTGCAGGTAGTTGCCAATCCGAATTTGGACATCGCGCCAAAAAAAATAATAATAATAAAGCAAAAGAAAACAACCATCATCGGGGTACAGTGGAGACTGATAAGGTACTTTTTAGTCATAGTCATAGGGTTAAGGGTATTATGAAATAAAAACTATCTAAAATGTATCTTACAGGCTGAAATAGGTAGCTACAGCCCCATAAAATGTATAGATTCTTGACTAATATCACCAGACGAGTGGATTTAGACACTCATTACAGGCACGTTCGTCTGTACAGATTAGACAGATCTTGGTGCTTTTAGAACACCAAATTTGTTGACAACATTATTACCTTTAACAAGCCAAAGGTTTATTTTTTTATTTACCCTTTTTTCCACATCTTAAAACAGCTGAAAACTTTAACCCCTTAGCGAATACCCACTGTACCCCTTCTGAACAATAATAAATCGCAATCCTTTGGGCGCGGCCTTTGTTCGGGCCACTCTTTAAAATGACTAATCGGTCCGGAGTCCAGGTCCAGGCCAGACAAGAAATCCAGAGGCCAGAGGAGACACCCGAAGACCAACGACCAGCTGCTTGATTTTCAGTTCCCGTTGCTGCCCCGTGTTCCTCTGGCGATTCTGACTCAGCATTATTGAAATTACTTGTGGCCCACATTCACAACGAGTGTTAACCAACTCCTACCTCTATTTCTATGCGGTTTTTCAACTCTTTTCACTTTCGTTTGTGTGGCGTTACGCTTGAATTGCCGCCTCGAGCGCGAAAGTGTTTATTTCTACATTCATATTTTGCGTCTGTTTTAGATTTCTTTCCAGGGAATCGTTTTTTTGTCCCATGTAATTTGTTACCAGGCACGTCGACGTCGACGGCCAATTAGGCCGTTTAATGCCGCATGAAATGAAGCCCGGCTCTGACCTTGAGTTAGGGCCCCCAAAAAGCCCGTCAACATATCAGTTTAGTCGGTATTTGTGTGGAGCTAACACAAACACACAAAAGTCGAGAATCTAGCATAACTAATTGTATTTACACGCCATAAATGTAAGTAATTGGCACACGGAAAACAGATTCACTTTCCACAGTTGTTACATGTAAATATTTAATATCGTAAGTCTAGGTGTCTGGAGAGGGGAAGTTAATTGTTTTGTAATAGTAAGGGCTCTCTCTCTCTCTTTGCTAGACTCTTTTATTTCCCCACGAAGCTTTTAAGAAGGTGACGCATGCTTAGAAAGTACTTTTACTCTTTGGTACGTTTTATGCCAGTGATATCAATATATTCTACTGTTGTGAATACAATACCTAAAATTCAATGTTTCAACAAGTACCAAGTTATAGGCAATACCTATGTGTAAATAAAATGTACCAGTAACTAATAGGGTTCCATCCTAACCCTGTTTTATAAAGATATTTTTAAATAAAATAATTACAATTTATTAAACTTTTTTTTAATGCTTTTAACTTAATAATATAATAAACTACAAACAAATTCCACAAATAAATTAAAACCGAAACACAACATTTTCTCATTTAAACAAAGAAACCAAAAATAATTCAGTTTTTTCGCTCTAAAACTAAGGCAAACAAATGCGCTTTGTGACGTCATCCTATTCTCTTTGTTCTTCTGCACCACCTTTTCCAAGCCCACAGCAAATGTTGAGATATAGTGTAGCGAGAGAATGTTGCGATAGAATGTTGCGAGAGAATGTTGAGATATAATGTTGCGAGAGAATGTTGAGATATAACGTTGCGAGAGAATTTTGCCAGACAAATGTTGCGATATTAAAGTCTTCGCGAGTAAATTTGTTTTCTCTCCGACACTCTCTCACATTTTTTTTTCTGGCAACATTCTCTCGCTACACTGTATCTCAACATTCGCTGTGGGCGCTCTCTCGCAACACGTCGCAAATCGGTATATAAAGAAAGAGGAAACGAGAAAAATTCAAAAAAAAATTTGTTGACGGGCTACGCGGCGTATGAATTTCCGAACAATAAACCTCCACTGAGGAAACCTCGCGAAATACGTAAAAGTCGCTCAATCGGTTGTGTTTTTTTAACTTTTATTGACAAATAAAGTCAAATTTGTGGTTTACAAGTGGGGAAGAAACGACGACCTGAAACTAAAATTGCAAAATGCATCAAATATGCACGTGAACTTCGCACAGTGTACGAGTGTGCGCAGTGTGTGTTTGGGTGCGATTGTGTGTACGTGAAAGTTCGAGTGAAAGTAGCTTGAAAATTAGAGAAACAAAAGCTACAGGCACGCAAAAAATACAGCACTTGCAAGCCAAAGCAAAATAAATAAAATTAAAAATATATAAAAGGAAAACAGAACAAAAAAAAACTGACGAAATTATGACTCTGTGTCCGCCAATAAATCTGCATGCCACCCACCGCCCCAGCGCCCTACGTCCGGCGCCATCGCCCTCGGAACGGAAGAGCATCGCCCGGAATTTGTTTGGCAACGCGCCCGGCGACTCGAACATCGACGAGCTGCTGGCCAAGGAGCAGCGCAAGATGCTGATCCGCATCAAGGAGTGCTACAACTTCGACATCCTGGCGGAGGAGCAGCGCGAGCAGGAGGCGGCGGAGATAACTGGACAGCGGTTTCCCTACCAATCGGTCGTCACACCACCGCTCAGCGATTCCGCCACCACCAGCCCCAAATCCTGTCCAGAAGCAACACCGCCCTCGATGGGCGCCGGCGTGGCCATTTCCGCCCAACAGATCTCCATTGCCATCAAGCGGATGAGCAGCAACAGTTCATCGGATCTCGCCAGCAGCAGCACGATACATGGCCTGAAACGTAAGTATTAACTAGTGATTTATGGGAAAAGAAGGTCAAGACCTAAATTATAAATTCCGGGAGATTTTACCTAGACCCTCATCTAAAAATAGTAAGGTTTCACAAATTACATCAGATTCAAAAATATCTTTCTAGATTTCTCTAAAAAAACAAGGTATAGAATTGTTGGATCTATAGATTTCGAGTTGTTTTCCTGAATTTTACAATATTTCAAAGAATATCATAACAAGCTATTACAACCGTTCTACCTAAAAATTTTCTTGTATATCTTTTTTGTGAATGTATCTAAGTAAATAGAGATATGTACGTATCTCGAGTTTCAAGTAAAATTTTATTTCCTCGTTCTAAAAACAGGATCGTTATGGTTTATTAAAATTGTTTATATCACATTTCTAATTATATTGTAAACGGAATCCAGCATATATATATTTTTTTATTAAGTAATTATATGACATTGTACAGCTTGAGTCATAGAGTTATATATTTTTTTTTATATTTTCGTCCAATAAGCGGGCACCTGATTTTCATTCCCTTTTCCGCTATTCCTTCCCTTTGCGTCCCTTGCTTTGTGTTCGTCCTTTTCCAGTGGTTTCACCCCTATGCACTTCTTCCCGTTGGTCGCGGAAACCCACCCTTGCCTTTGGATTTTTCTAATTTTATGTTTCCCTTCGTGCGTTGATTCTTATTGTCACTTCTTTGTCCGCTTCTCTTTTTCGGGTTGGTCTTGTTTTCGATTCCCTTTTGGTTTCATTCAGGTGCATATCCCAAGGATTTGAATCCTAAAATAGAATCCCAAACAGCTATAGTAAAATAGATAAATAGATACTTTTAAGAGTCTAAAGTATCTTTAGTTGAAGTAATGCAATAAATGATCAAATTAAAAGATTCTCTGAAATGGTTGGTGTATCCTATCTTCGGAATCAAAATCTCAAGTAAACGTCTAATAGTTTACTAGGTTCTAGTCGCTCAAACAGCAGGGTATGATACGATACGGCCTTTGGTTATTTAACCGCGCGCTAAGGGCTCGGATCAATATTTGCAACAACTGTGCACATAATGCACTCTACTCTTTGGTTGTTGGAGTTGTTGTTGGTGTTGTTGGACGGGCCTTAAGTGCCGTTAATGCCCCTTTTTATCGGTTTGTTTGGCAGGGCTCGGCTCTCCCCCGGATTCCCCTCACATTTTCATATTCATATTCATTTCACGTTTCTTTTTTTATTTATTTTATACGAACACGGCGAATCTTGTGCTTAACGAAAGCTTGTTTTTCAGTTTTTGTTTTGATAGAGGTTTGTTATTTTGCGCCGTTCCATTTTGCCCTGTTTCCTAACCACTTACGATACGAAAACGCTACGAATTTTATTCACACTTCGCTTTCATTGTGGAGCAGCCATTCCCCGTCGGTTTCGTTATCAATTCCGCATGTCAAGGCCCGATTTCGTTATTGACTCTTGGGTAGAAAGTATCACCAAATATATTATTGTATTACTCCTCGACTAATCAAAGCCCACAGTTGGGATTCTATATATCGAATTTGAGAGACAGCTCAATTCGAATCGTTTTGAAGCTTTCATTATTCATATTACAAGGCAATAAGTAACATTTCATGTTCTAAACAATTATATAGATACATTATCTTAAAGATATAATTAAATTTGTATAGTTTTCCTATCCCAATTAGCTTAAAAACAAATCAGGAACATTGCTAAGAAAATAACTAGTTATTACGTAATGCTCAGATACAAAACTATTACTGTTCAATAGTTTTAATAAATCCCACATGTTCTACACTCAGAAAATCAAATTTTCAATTGATTTTTCACAGCATTCAATTCGCAAACTAATAGAAAACTATTTTGTAAACTTTGAGTTCTAGTAGACGTTCGACTGTACCTCCATTTGTTGGTTTATTGTTATTTATGACTGCTTTACTTTGCGCTGATATTCGCTGATAAATCGTGGCAAACAGAGAAGGCGGGGAGAAGGAGGAGGAGAAGAGAGCGAGAGAGACAGGGAGAGAGGAGAGAGGAGGAGAGCGAGAATTGTCGCCAGTTTGTCTTTGATTTGGCAGTGTGTCAAAGCGAAAAGCTAAACAACAAACTGTACGCCAAAATAAAATGTTGAATAACAATCGCGCGCCAAAAATCTTCCTCGCGATCTACGCGAGATTGCAGCCGAAAAACACAAGAAAACAGGGAAAATCGACAAGAACAAGGCAGTTGCTGGCAATTAATTGAGAGGCCTCAATTAAATTTAAATCAGCGCCAACGCCTTCTGGTTTTTGTTGTTCTCATGCTGCAGTTCTTGCAGGCGAAAAAAATATATGAATAACAACAACAAAACGAGAATCAACTACTTGGCACACGCCTGCGACTGTACGCGGATTGTTGTACTTGTAGTTGTAGCTCCCACTTCTTGTTGTTGTTTTTTGTTTTCTGCCTTGAAAGCCGCACCCACGACGACAAACGCAATCTGAACAACAAAACGAACGCGAAACAACAACAAGCAGCGTCACTCTTATACGATGACGCACACACATTAATACATATATGTATAGTTCAGGAGAGTGGAAGAGACAAAGAGAGCGAGAGCTCGCGGTGGTGCTGCCGTCTCAGCCTTAATTCGCTGTCCAATCTAGCCTTTTTCCACTAAAAATACTGAAAACTAGCCAGATTCGAAAACTCAATTGGTTTTAAATTTCCTAAAGGCTGTTTTGTGATAAAACAAATTGTTTTTGAAAAATAATATCAATATTCCTTGCCATTTTCCTTAAAAAAATATAATCACTTCAATGATGAAATAAAAGATCGAGAAGAAGCGCTTTGGCTTTTAGATTTTTGTAAAGGACGGAAAAGATAGCTTTATGTTGTGTTTTGAAAATCCTGGCAACACTGCCCACACGATCTTTCTCTCTCGCCCTGCTGATGATGTTTTTGCGTTTTGGCGCGAATTTCTTATTTTTCGTGTTTATTTTTAGTCGTCTTCGCTGATAAGCAGTGTCTGTGTGTGCGTGTGTTATTATGCGTAGTACGCACGCACGTTGTTGATGTTTTTCAAAACTCGTCTGAAGGTCACACACACAGGCGCACATGCAGATCGCGTAAGTACAGCGCCAAATGTTATTGTTGTACTTTTGCGGCAGGTCCGAATCGAAAAAAACGGGTCCAAATGCGGAGGAAAAAAACAAATCAATTAGACACCAGTTCTGTTATCTTCTCCGCCTCTCGCTCTCTCCCGCGCTTTTGGCATGTACTGTACTTTTCACAGAGTTACTTAGCTTAGCGTTTTGTGCTTTTTGTTTTGCTTCGGCCTTTTCGCCACGCCCCAAAAAGCAAGAAGTTATGTGTTGTTATGGGATTCCTCGATTCTTCGGAAATTTATGTTTTCTAATTAAGTATGCTGAAGAAACTCTCTCGCGGAGCTCCCATATAAATATTTATAATGTGAATTCTTTGTTGCCGTTCCTGTTTTCATCGCCGCCTCTCTCTCCACACACATTTCGTAAACAAAACGCGTTTTGTTGTTACTAGAAAAGAGGGGTAGAGAGTTGGGAGGGGGAGCGAAAGCTTCCAAGCTGCGTGCTCATAACGATAACGGTAAACGCACTCCCCGTCATTCACCTCTTTATTACAGAATTCCCCTGCTTTCTTTCGTTCCTCTCCCTCCCCTTTTCCGGCTCCCACCCGCTCATTACAATAGGCGATCGTTTTTTGCCGATTTCCCCTACTGCTTCTTCTTCGCCTGCGTTTCGCTTGACGTTCTTTGTCGCTGGCTTATAATTTTCTATAACTGTACATTTGATTGTATCGCCGGCAGCGCGACTCTTTGGCTGCCAGTCTGCCCCATCCATTCTCTTTCTCTATTGTGGGGTTTCCAGGTTTCTTCTGTAAAGTTGTAACGCCCCCCGAGAAAGAAGAAAGCTTTTCTACCATTAAAAAATGGATCCTCTGTTTATCATTGGGAATATTTTTGCTAAGAACTTGTCGGTTTTTCTAGCTTGAAAAACTTATGTAACTTAAAAAATAAACTAAATTATAAGCGTTATTTATTTATGAATAAGCCAAGCAAGTCCCCCCATTAGATTAACATTCTTGTCTCATATAGTCGCCATAGAAGTCTCGAATAGCGAGTGTGCTTAAGTATTCGGTTTTCTAAGCTGGCCTTGGGGCTTGTTTCTTGTTTTTGTATTCCCCCCAGCCTTTTGTGGCTGTGCCGTTTAGCTTTTCAGCTTTTAGGTCACTGCGCAGTGGCTGCGGTTTCGTGAGCGTCTCCGCTGATCGTCTAAGCTCCGGCTAGCGGTTCACTATACGACGCGATGAGGCAACCGCAGCTGCCCGCGATCGAGACCTGATAGAGGAGTACAGTCTAACTCAGCTCTAATCCCAACTAGTATTAGCAGCAAAAAAAGGGCAAGTTCTGGAGACTTTGACTACCGAAAAGCATACAAATTTATTTTACTACAAAGGTGTTTGTATATATACCATTACAAAGGCTTATAACCCTTTAGATTTTACACAACATCTTTAAGAAGCTTCCACTAAAATAAGTCGGACTGTACTTGAGTAGAAGCTACACAGCTGCGTATGAAACAAAAAAAAAAAAACAATTTGCGAGGTTGATGTGCTATTTGGCTATCTATCAGAACGCATTCGTCTTGGGGCGATCGGCGATCGTTCGCCTTTATAGATTACTCAAGTAATTCCCTTCCCCCCTGCCGGTTTTCACTACCCACAAAGCTGCAGTTATCGCTGCGGCCATGACATTTATTTATCGGCTAGCCAATGACCAGGTATGGGTTCTCTCCGAATAGGTGTTCTAGATTGCACAAGTGTGCATAATTCTGGCGAGATAAGAACGCTTTACAAAGAAGCAGAAAAGGAAAACACCCACTGACACGTATTCAGTTGCGAAAATGCAATTCGATTCGCACACCTTAACTTTGCTTTCCCTTTTGGCTTCTGAAGGTCAAACAAAATGACGCTTGCACTTTTATTTTTATTTTCCATTTTCCACTTTTGAGGTGTGACTAAACACAAACTTTGTATAGCTATTGAACGGAGATTAGAAGGGTATATGGTAGTCGTGCCAAGGTTTAAGCCTCTGAAACTATCCTACGTTTTAAATCACAACAATATCTTTAAGATAGCTATATTTATTTACCTTTACTACAATGTTTTTCCCTTTCTATCTTTACAGGCAAGTATCGCGTTCGCAAAAATGTGCCAAAAATCATCAAGATGAGTTACGAGATCAGCAACAACATCAACAACAGCAACAACAATGTGGATAATGGGACTTGCGAATTGGGGAATGCGGAGCAGTGATTTTGGGGGAGAAGACGACTGATCGGCAGCCCCTGGCGGAGCAACAATTGCAATATATGATATTTATTGTAAACGTAATTTTATTTTCTAAAATAATTTGTTTATATTTTTTTTTTTTGTGTGTATACCCCAAACACAAGGTGTACATTTTTTTGTTTAAACCAAGACTTTGCGGTCCCCAAATGTTGTTGCATAAAGAGACAGAAGAAAAAAAAGGAAAAACAAATGCTTAAAAGCGAAAAACAGCCAACCAGAAACAACAAACAAAAAAAACAAAACCAGAAAAGATTGGCGCGCGTGCACAGCCAAAACAGGCAAAAATAATATAATATTAAATACATCCGGATGCATAGCGATCGATATAATTATGGAAATTATTAAGTCGTAGATATATACTAAAAATTATTTATGTGTAAAAAGGAAATTATATTTGTACATTGGCAATATATACGTAAATTGTGGCGAGACAGCGAAAGACACTTCGATTCGCTGTCGGCCGTAGACTTACAAAGTAGATTAAATTGTAATTAGGCAATGCTAATTTTAGACGAGTGAACGGCGACGACAGATCGGCGCTATGCATCCGCTTTATAGACTCTTACCCCCAAATCCAAAAAAACCAATTCAAGCGTTCTCAGCGTGTTTTCGGATCCTGATGCACGCGTGTGCCAAAAGTATTTACAATTTACTTTGTGTCATGATCTCAATCATTAAAAACAATTTTATTATTTTGTTTATTGTAATTATAATTGAAATTATCTAAAACAAATTCTTCTTAGCCCCCACCCTACCCCACACAAACACACTCATACTGCACACACACACACACACTTTTACACACCACACCCACCTCACCCCCTCAACTCATATTTATTGTATGTACACTATCGATGTGACATTTTAAATTGTATGTACTGTACCATGAACTGTATAATAATATTTCGTATCTGTGGCAAAATGAATTTCCTCCCTCTTAAAAAAAATCTATTTTGAACAACCTAACTGTGTATATTGTATGGAGAAGTACTAAAACTCCAAGCAGCTAAATGAGAAAACAACAACCAACACTGTGTATATTTTCTAAAACAAAACTAAACAGTAATTTTTGTAAAACTTACGCAATCATTAAAAAAAAAAAAACACTTTATCACAAAGAAAAAAAAAAACCTACAAAAAAACTCTTAAAAATACAAATGTAAAACAAAAAATCTTGAAAAGCTTTTTATTTTCTGGGGGCCCTTTTGGGACGAGATGGCGTGATTATTCCCAAGCGCAAAGAAAAGTCGAAAAGTTGGTAAAGAACATGAGTGGAGAAAGATAAAAATAAATAGATGGAATGACTCAGCTTTGAGCTCCGGATGCATCAGTTGCCCCATTAGACAAGGGCAGTTCTTTTCTTTGCAGGCACAGTAAAGTTTCGATAATATGGATATAACTAAAGATTTAAGAAATCAAGAGTAGTGAAATGGTCGATAACCAAATTATCAGACAGAAGAACTGAGTCTCACTCTTACTTTTTTTTACATGAGAAGATGAAAAACTTTTTTCCAAGGTACTACTGTAAAAATCAAAACCTCTGTAGAGGTTCGGAATGCAATCAAAAAAAGTAAAGTGGAAAGGAAGTCGAACCTTCTCCAATTAGTAGGGTTTCCTCTATTCGCTTTCATCGCTAATCACCCGTACCAATTGAGAGGCTTCACTGTGGGGCACTCGTGGGCACACTTGTGTGCCTTTCAATAGGCGTACATATGGCCGGCGGACCTTTGGGAAAATGCTTTCTAGTCGTAATTTACTTGCTATCCGTCCGTATGTGTGCATATCTATTTTATTGTTATGTGGCTGGTGGAGTGGAGTGGGCACTTAACATTAGATTGGCTGTGACTTCCGGCATACAAACGATCGCTGGGCGTCTGATGATGATGATTGATGCTATCCAGAGTTTTTAAGGCCCCTTATTTTTCCCCTTTTTTATAATCTAAATCAAAACTTTGGCTTTCCGTTGCTCTTGGGAGCTCATAGAATGGTTAGCTACAGTTTAGGTTCATGGATCTATCTTTAAATTTTATTTAATTTTGGAATTATAATTTAAAGCTGAGGTGACCTATAGAGGTGCAAGAATTCCGAAATAAAATATTTTGAAAGATAATATTGAATTGTTCCGAAAGATACAATCTTAAGGTAAGTTTGGCCACAATTTTCTATAAATTTACTTTAAAGATACATTTCCAAATCGTATCTACATCTTGCAGATACTTTTATTTATTGCAATTTCCTACAGCACGGCTGAAATCAAAAACGGGAACAGCTTACCCAACCGTCTTAGAAAATTTCCACTTCTTTATGGCTTCTGTTGCTATGCCAGGCACTTGGGCACTGACTGCTCTCTTGAGCGAATCAAGAATGCAATATGCTATATAATAATGGCACTGGCATAGAGGCAAATTACATGCTCTGCATTTAGTAACAAGCATGTACAACATATTTGCCCACTTAACTAGCGGCCTGGTACGGTTATTAGCATGCAATTTCAAGATTTTAATGGCTCTGCACTCGCATTGCAGTCACATTATACATACATTTATACATAAGTACATCCATATGTACATACATCTGTATCTAAAGACACGCATTCACGTAACGCAACAAAGCTCAGGCCTACAATAGAGGGTACATTAATAGCACAGAATGTTATGTAATCTTTTTATTATAATTTAAGCTTGGATTATATCTTTGCTTATTTATAATGTTATGAAATTGTTGGTTTATCATTTTATATATTTTTGATAATTACAAGATTTACCAATCATAATGAATTATACATAATCCTTTGTAACACCTGGTGAAATCGATCTTTTCAAAGCTATCTTACTCACCGCCACTGTACAATGTGTGATCGAGCGGAGGACGAAAGGAAAGAGAAAGGCAGCTGGCAGAGGTGTTTGTACTCTCGGCAAATTCGCGTTGGCCGCGATTCGCAATTCGCAGTTTTCAGTTTTGACTGCGCTGCCGCAGCGCTGCCTTTGCCTTTTCGCCTCGCAATAAATTCAAAGTTGAAAAGCAGAATTTATGACGTCGGTGGTTGCCATAACGGTACTGCCTAAGCCAGCGCCATTAAAAAAATAAGATGGAAAAACAGGGTGTTGCTTTGTTGTAATTGCTGTTTCTCTATTTCTTTTTATTTCAGAGTTTTTATTTCTCTCGTCGGCTGCTAAAATCACAATAATTTATTGCGCGGAATTTAATTGCATTCCCTTTTCGCATTAATCACCATTAATGTCAGCGCCTGCATTCGAGTTGGGGTGCAATGGCTGGAAAAGCGTGAAAAGCGAGCCAAGGCCATCTCTGACAGTTGAACGAAGTTGGGATTGAAATCAATCAGCCCTGAAATGAGGTTCCCCTAACTTGCGATTCGCTCGGCACTTAAAAAAAATATTGTATTCTTTTGTAATGCATTTTATGCATCCTGGCAGATTTTCCTTGTTTTGGACTATACCTAACAGTCCCTAAATTTGAAAATTCGATTTAAACATTTAAACTTAAACATAAAATATTAAATTAGTTTTTGACAACAATAATATTTATACGAAACTTAAGATTTATTATTACTATGCTATTAACTATTTTTAAAGAATATTTTTTTTATCATTTGTCCTTTTTTGTTCTTTGCATATATACATTATCCTTTTCTCAATTTGTTATATTACCTTCATAAATAAAAAATATAATATTTTTGAAATTTCAATATAAAAGATAGATTATGTTTCAGTGTGGACCGCATAACGTGAGGTCAGCAAAGGGGAAAAAAGCAAAGTGGAGCTGATCCCGCGGCCACTGCTCTAATCTCCTGACCAAGTTGTGGCTTTGCATCATTTCCCTGAACCTATACGACTCGGATCATTTGCTATATATACCCTTTCTCAGTAAAAACTATTAACATTTTAACAGAGCCTGAATAGATTTGGAATTAAAATAAAAACCCAAAAGCTTCAGTTCGGGGATTTAGATTATTTTAAAATAATATTGTTAGAGTATTTTATATTAACGTAAAGATTGTAACATTTCATCAATCAATTAATTTTATAGCTTAAGCTACAAGTGATATAATATCTTTATTCTTAGCTGTTATCATGATCGTTTCCACCCATTGAGGAAACTCCGCAGAACATCCTACTCAACAATTACTTGAGGTATCTACAAAGTCGACCAGATAAGATAGCCTTTTCTGTTGCCAGAGCAATTTGAGTTGGCCAAGACCGGGGCAATTTGCAGCACAAATCAACGGCATGCAAAGCACTTTTGGTTTATTTCGTTGATTGTTCCCACAATTTTCGTACAATGCCGGAAAATGTACGTGCCCAGTACGTTGTTACTGTAATTGGCCTAAAAAAAAAAAAAGATAAAAAGAGACCCAAAGCGAACTGAGACTAAAGAAGATGAGGGGAAAAAATAAATCATACAACGTGAAAATTCTTTTCAAATGTCAGACAAAGGCTGGTCGGAGGTGTTCATGGGGATTCCCTCCGCTGCTGCCTGACAGACTCGAAAGATCTTCCAGATGCTCGCACGCTGTAATCGTGCCCAGTTTTTCGGATAGGGCAGTGAAGATGTAGCTGAAAAGATACTGTGTATATGGGAAGATCACGTACGCTCAAGATGGGGGCGTCATTTACATTGCCCTCGAAGAAGGGAGCTTAGAGCCAGGATCGCATCGTGAGCGTGAGCGTGTGAATCAAAGGCAAAAGTAAGCGATGATCGGGCCAACTCAAACCGAAGGAAGAAGTCTACCCCCTGCCCTATCCTCTTCTACTAACACAATGTCTTGTAGATCTTCGAAACGTGATCTCAAAATGAAAACGTCTGGCCTTATTATTGAGATGTCGAGAGTTTTGGCTTGAGAAAGGTTTTTTAAAGTCTGGAAAGGGAAAGGAAAATGAATGCTACTAAATGAAAATGTCCAAAGGGGAAAGTCTTATCAACAAATTAGAAAAAAGTAAATTGGAAATCAATGAACTTGATAAGCTAAGCTGGGATTATTAACAATCTCGAACGAGCTTATTTTGGTATTCCTCTCCGCCTTGATCAACTATTTTACCGTCCTCATTCAATATGGAATGCAACAGAAGGTGGTTTCAAATACCATTAAGCTGCTTACTTCTGAAAATTCTGAAAGAAATCTATAAGATATATAACTTTGTTAACCGGAGGTTATAGTAAACACTCAAATATTTGTAATTTGTAATATATAAGTATATATATTTGTTAGTATTCCATTTAACAACACAATAAAAGGTTACAAAACTAATCAATTTAAGATTCAGGCATGTTTTTGATTTCCTTTAAGTATTAGACTTAATTTTTTGGGGACATAGGTTAGTTCTGTAATATATTCTTATTCTAAGACTAAGCAGAAAGCTAAATTTTGAATTGAAATTAAAATACGGCAATAATTAAAAAGAATATGTTTCCTTATGCTTGCGTCGTAAAACCACTTATAAATACCTACGTCAATCGACTCTCCACCCAATGGAGGTTTTTACTCCACATTAGGTTTTATCTTTCATCACCTGTCGCAGACTTAATTGACAGACCCCAAGGAACCACCTCTAAGTTGTTATTAACTTAATGCATTTTAAGAGATTTCGATTAGCACAAACATTCACTCTATTGTTCATTTCAATCGAGTCTCAAAGTAAACTGGTCATGTTTGATTTTCGGAAAATAGGTGTATCCAAAATATGCGCCGGAATTCTGCATGGATTTTTTATATTCGCCGGATACACGGGCATGGTGTTCTTTCGTTTTAAAAAGGATCAAGTTGTGGCCATTAATCGTTCGTGGTGGATGGAGGGGATATCGCTTATCCTGCGATTTATCCCACTCGGTGTCCATATCTATACCTACTTCATGTATATTAGAAGGATCGAAAAGTTTATCGAGCAAATGCTGCACTCTTTGAGACTTGTACTATCGATTCCCTGCTATCTGGCGATGATCTACATACAGCTTTTCCATGGTCCAAAGGTGGTTAAGTTAATAAATCAGTATCTGCGAATCGTACGTGAAGTTAGAACGTTGGCCGTTAGAAAAAGAATTGGATTTGGAGGCGGACGAGAGTTTTTCCTGATCTTCCTTTCGTTGGCCTGTCAGCTCCAGGAAATTGCCTTTCTTTTGCGACTTTTGCGCTGGGTGGTCAATCTGAATAATATGATCAAATGGACCGCCTACTGTGTCCTCGTCACATCGAGTAATATGATTCTTAACATCAGCATCATATGGTACCTTAGCTTGGGCATTATATACAAGGAGTTGAATGAATACCTGCATTCCGAGATGGGAAACCAATTCGAGGTCTTGAAGGATCCTCGTCAAAGATATCAGCCCTTATACAAGCAGTTGAGAAAAATAAAAAAACTGAGAAAAGCCTTGACTATTTTCAAGGAGATATATTATGTGATTAGTTCTTTGCAAAAGATTTCCAACATTCATCTATTTTTGGCTCTTACCCAAACCGTTTTATACTTGATTGTTGTATCCTACAAAATGATAATTGACCTAAACTTTCGCCAATTTTGGTTGTGGTTTCTTTTTGTTAAGATCATAATTCACGTTTTAATTATAACTTTGGCCATTCAAGGGGCTGTTAATCAGTTTGTTTATACTCAGGAAGTTCTTTTGGATATATTTTTTACAAGTGACTTGAAGGATTGGAAGAAAACGGTATGTAAAGTCTTGATATCGGTTTAGTTTAATTAATAAATATTTTTTGTAATTTTAGGTGGAGATATTTGTTATACATCTAAACCTGTGCAAATTGAGAGTCTGTTTTTTGGGCCTTTTTGATGTCTCCAATGAGCTATTCCTTGTAATTGTATCAGGCATATTTTGTTATCTTGTTTTTATTGTACAATTTGTAATGCAGTTGCAAAATAAATAAGAAAAGTTTATTCTTTATTATAACTCAAGCTCTTGAAAAAGTTATCAAGAAAATGGAGACATCCTTTAATTTGTCTGGTACAAACTTTTTAATGGACAGCATTTAACTGGATAATGTCACTCCTTTTGATATTGTAAAGCACTCTTTCCCCTGACAGCTCAGGATCTTATCGAAGTTTACTTTCACTTGTCATTAACCAAATGCACCGCGAGTGCCATGGTTTAGAGCAATTATTTTTCCATTTCAAGCCAAGTTAAAAACCAAAGCGGTCGGTCGGTCATGTTTAAGTTTCTTCGTGAGATGAGCGTTTCTAAACTATCTACTAGTATCCTGGTTGGAATTTTTCGCTACTTCCAGCTCATGGGAGTAGTTTCCTTTCGGCTCATCCACGGCGAGGATGGGTATAAAGTTTGCAATGAAAATTGGCTCAAGTGGACCAGTGCTATCAATCGACTATTGGCCCTTTGTGGATTTATCTATTTTGTGGGAAAGAGTACACTTGCGATGCAGAATCCGATCATGCAAGTTCTGCATGTCATTCGTATAGGTTTGAAAATTCCCAGCTCTTTCATAATAGTGGTATATCAGTTTTTTCGTGGTCCCGAAATAATACAGTTGGTCAACAGATTTCTGCGTCTTATTCGCCACGTCAAAACTTTAAATAAGTCAAAACGAAGTGGTTTTGGTGGCCGAAGAGAGTTTGTTTTTATCCTTTTGAAAGTTACCTCCCTCGGGCACGAGGTTATTTATCACTGGTTTATAACAAATGAAGATTACAATCTGGATTTCCTTCTAAAGTGGATTTGCAACACCTACGTTATCTGCGGTTACAACATATTAATGCATATTTACTGCTTGGTATTCCTCAGTCTCGGGGTCCTCTGCTCCGAGGTGAATGAGTACGCTCGCACTGACCTGGCAGCCCAACTCGAAGATCTGAGTCCACCGATTAGCAGGAGAAAACGGAGAAAAGCGAGATGTCAGCTGGAGAATTGTCTCGCTCTTTACAGGGAGATATATGCTGTGAATATTGCGTTTCAAAAATGTTTCGAAATTCCCATTGTTGTGGCACTCGCTCAGAAGATTATGATGGTGGCTGTTATAGGCTACAGTGTAATCACTATGTCAACTTTTAACGGCTATAGGTTGTGGCTTATTGTGGGCAAGCACATTTTGGATCTGCTTCTGCTGACCCTGTCCGTCCAAGGAGCAGTGGATCAGTTTAAGGCCATCCGTCGGCTTAATTTAGAGGTCTATCCTGTCAGTGACTTGCCCGAATTTCATACTATGGTAAGTTATAATGGCCTTCCTTTAAGGAAAGTTTTCGATTCTAAATATTACCTTTGCTTCTTACAGCTAGAGATATTCTTCACATACTTGAATTTGTACAAGTTTCGAGTTCGTATTTGGGGCCTTTGTGATATCTCTAATGAATTGTTCATCATATATATATCGGCATTAATTACCTGGATGGTTTTTATAGCGCAATATTCAATGCAAATGAAAAATATTGAAAAAGAAACTTGAAGTCGAGAAAAATAAAAAACACAAATAACAAAACATTAATTATAAAGCATACTAAATATTTACCAATTTATATACCAATATTTCAATGTTACTTATTATTATTAATCCCTATTAAAAGCTTTCTAATTTTATTAACAACTCTGTATTTGCTTTGAGGCAACATTAAAACAATATTTATGTACTTATTAAATAAATAAATATGCACGAAATGGAATTAATTTCCCAAAAATAAGCTTAGTAAATAAATCAAGGAAAAGCCTGAGGGAATATGAATTGGTCTGCCGACTTCAGTCATGTTTGAACGTCTGAGGAAAGTGAGCCTGCCGGCGCTCTCGGCTTATATTCTCTTCTACAGCTACCACTATGCCCGTGTCCTGGGAGTGGTTTGCTTCAGGATCGATAAGAGGAGAGCCGACGAGTCCATGGTGGTTCGTAAACAGCATCAGTTAAAGTGGCTCAGCTTGAGTCTGCGACTCATCTGCTCCACGGCGGTCTGCTGCTTCTGTGCTCCCACCGTATCCGAAATCGAGGATCCCTACGAATACTTTATGCCAGCGATGGGCACGCAGTGGCTCAATTTGCTCACGCTGCTCAAACCGTTATCTTTTTTCGGAGGCGCCAGCATGTCGCACAATTGCAGACGCACAAGTGCAGTGCTCGCGACCAGCGAACCGTGAAGATTTACAAAAACAACCACACTGACCTTTGGCGCAGGTAGCGAGCCCATCGCCGCGATCCCGAGTTTGCAACAACAAAACACAAGCGACCCGAACTCGCACATCGTCCCAAAAACAAGAACAATTTTAAAGGGACCTGCGCGGCTGGCGTTGACTTCTGCACTAAAGAAAAAAGATTGGATTTTTTTGCAGTCGTTTTTCTTAGGCGGACATAAATGCACGCAAAAATGGCTGAAGATATTGATCTACTCAAAAAGTTTTTGTCAGTGTATTTTCTCGGCTCGCACATTCTGTGTGTCGCGTGGGTGCGACGTTTCGCGACGCTAGGGGTTGTTCTTGTTTTTTTTTTCAGCGAGCTGCTGCTCAAACCGTTAGATCTCGTGCCCATCGCTGCTTTATGCAATGCCTCCGCCTAATGGCCAGCTTCTTGTGCGCTATCTGCATTGTGGTGGTTCAAATGGGCTACGAACACGACCTTCTCCGAATGATCAATAACTTTATGCGACTCTTTCGACGCATTCGCCGTTTGTGGTGCCAAAAAAAGTTTGGTTTCGGTGGCAAAAGGGAGTTCTGTCTGTTACTCATGAAATCCCTGTGCTTGATCTATGAACTGTACTGTGAGTTGAGACAGCTAGGGGATTCCCCCCATTGGCTGGCTCTGGTCACTATGATATGTGAAATATTCTTAGAGATTAGCTCTTTGATGTTCTTACACATTGGATTCCTGGGCTATCTGACTGTGGCTGCCCTCTATTCTGAGGCCAATAGCTTTGTGCGTGTGGAGTTGCGTCGCCAATTGAGATCCTTGGAGCGTCCTGGCGGTGGTCCTGTCACGCGTCGTCATCTAAGGATTGTTGAGTGCCGCCTGGATGAGTGCATTTCGATATATGATGAGATCGAACGAGTGGGTCACTCCTTTCACCGCCTCTTCGAGCTGCCTCTTCTCATTATTCTAATAAGCAAGATCTTTGGCACCACAGTTTTGTCCTATGAGGTGATCATCCGAGCGGAGCTATATCCTGATAAGGCTGGAATGTGGGGCCTGGTGGTCAAGAGTTTCGCCGATGTTATACTCCTTACACTGGCTGTTCACGAGGCGGTAAGTAGCTCCCGGCTGGTGCGTCGCTTGAGTCTCGAGAATTGTCCTCTCAGCGATCATAAGGAGTGGCATATGAAGGTGAGTGAGGTGATCAGAGGATAATTGATCCTATTAATTATTAAATTCAATTTTTAGTGGGAAATGTTCTTGAGCCGTCTGAACTTTTTCGAGTTTCGTGTAAGGCCTTTGGGCTTGTTTGAGGTATCCAACGAGGTGATCTTATTATTTTTGTCAGGCATGATCACCTATTTTACCTATGTGGTGCAAGCTGGGATTCAAGCTAATCGATTGTGAATGAAACAAGGATGTTTAATAGAGCCTAATCATCTACATGTTTCACAAATTAAGCAAAGCGTAACAGTAAATTGCCTGCTATTATCTATATGATTGTTTATTCCATTAATAAAAATGTTAATAAAATTAAATTGTAACATTGTAATTAATATCTCTATTCCCTAAAGCATAGCTTCCCTTGTTATTAGTGAATTAGATCTAGATAGTAACCCCAACAATTGCCTCGACTGACTGGCTGCTCAGTCAATCGGCAAACTAATTACGTAATGGTTTAATAATAAAGTAAAGGGCATTTCTTTTCCTGCTCGAATAGTCATGCCGCAAAGTCCTCGCTGCTTAAACGTACCCAGGATATCCGAGTTGCTGCTTCGCATTTGCTGCCTCTACGGCACCGTTTTCGGAGTGATTACCTTCGGGATCGAGAGGAAGGAAAACTCTCAACTGGTGGCCAGGGATCGCAGAGGTTACCGGTGGTTTTGTGTGATTATTCGACTTCTGGCCAGCTTCTTCTATGGCTACAGTTACGAGGCTTGGGCTGGCCAATATGCCACGGATTGGTATCTGCGGGTCTTCTTTATGCTACGTCTGGCAGGATGCCTGGTCTGCAGTGCCATTATCCTGGTTATGCAGCTAAGGTTCGCCGAGGAGCTACTTGGCTTGGTCAACACTTACCTGGAGCTGTTTCAACGCTTAAAGTGGCTAACTAAAGGGGGAGGAAGTTCCGGATTCGGAGGCAGCCATGAGTTGGTTTTATTGTCCTTTAAAGCCATATCCTTGCTGTTTGTTTTCTTGGCCTTTCGACTGCAGTTATCTCCTTGGATCCTGCTAACCATTGTGTGCGATTTCTATACCTCCATTAGCACTGGAATGATTATGCATTTTTGCTTTATTGGCTACTTGAGCGTAGGCATCCTTTACAAGGACTTGAACAACTATGTGGATTGCCAATTGAAGGCTCAATTAGGATCGTTGAACTGTGAGGAACATCGGCAACCTAGTCGCCAAGCTATTAAAAGTTTGGACAAGTGCTTGGCTCTTTATGAGGATATTTATCAAGTGACCCGCCGTTTTCAGAACCTCTTCGATTTGCCTTTATTTCTCACCCTGGCTCAGAGCCTTTCGGCCATGGCCATGGTTTCCTACCATGCCATCTTGCGAGGGCAGTACATCTTTAGTCTCTGGGGTCTGGTGATAAAGCTACTCATTGATGTGGTGCTCCTAACCATGTCGGTTCATTTAGCTATCAGTGGTTCTCGACTGGTGAAGAGGCTGAGTCTGGAGAACTATTATGTGACTGAGTGCAAGAGATATCATATTAAGGTAAGGATTAGAATATAGAAAGGATATTCAAAGAATAGTTGTATAGCTTCTGCAGTTATTTTCTTGATTTAAATTTAGAGAAACATCCTAACTCTTTAAAAAAGAACAAAAATTAATAACTTATATATTTCTGTATATTTTTTTCTATTCAGATGGACCTCTTTCTGGGCCGCTTGAATCACCAGGAGCTACGAGTACGTCCCTTGGGCCTCTTTGAGGTCTCCAACGAGCTGACCTTGTTCTTCCTCTCAGCAATGGTCACCTATCTGACCTTTTTGGTACAGTACGGCATGCAGTCGCGGCCAGTCTGATTCCGCGTCACGCTTTGGTTGCGGTTATGCACCCTACCGAGGACACACCTGTGACCCACCTGCCCACCCGTCCACCTGTCCTGCGGTTGCACGCAAATAAAAAAAAAAAAAAAAAAAAACAATAATGAATAAAAACGGAATTTACAGAATGCAAGCTAAAATCGTTTGTTGCCAGGAACCAATTCCCAATTTCCGCCTAACCGTTTCTTCCGCTTCAACTTTTCCCATGAAAGTTGGTCGCGGCATTAATTAAACATTCATGCTGACGTCAAGCAGAAAATTTATGCAACACCACTACACAGAGAAGAAATGTTTGAAAAGAAAAATTCTGTTTGGAGTTTATTTGTTTTTCAGATTTAAAATGAATATTTACTTTTTAGATTTTTCTAAAATCCTATTTTGTATTTAAGATCGCAGACAGAAGAACTTGTTAACATTATATGTTAAAATGTAAGAATATAACACGTTACTGGCAAATATCTTCTTGAAATTTTATACTCTTTACTTGTACTTTGTATTTATTTTTTAATTCCTATGCATATTTATATTTAACTTCTTCAGTAAAACATTATTTTTAAGCAGTTCTGTTCCCAATTGACTTCTCTCCGTGTAAAGATAGCGAGACAAAGCCAGGGTAACAGCGGACAATTCACGCTAAAAGGCGCATAAAAACAAGGCCGAGGCCGTCGCTCTAATTAGCATAGGTTAGGGTACAGACCGGGTCCAAAAAAGAGCCCTAAAGGTGGTAATGCACTTGCCAGTGCCACCGCGCGATGCACTTGTTCTTAAAAAATGAAAAAAAAAAAACGAGGTACAGGTAAATGCAAAGGTAAAGGTAAAAAAGCCGGCCAACGACGGTGACGGCGGCGATGGCGATAATAAAAAATCAAATTGCCCCAGAACGAAAACAGAGACTCCGAGATGAGATGAAGACTATTATCTGGGCGACAGGGAGCCGAATGCAATAATGACCCGATCTGTTCTGCTCCTGCTCCTGCTGAGATTGTGCGCCTTTTCCAGGCTTTTCTGGGTTCTTTTATATATGTATACTCTTGATGGTAGAGGATATAACGTATTTAAGGAGATTTTTGTAACAGAGTGAAGGGAGTTTATAATTTTAAAATATTTGTAATCCTACTTTTTAAATAAATATATTATCAAGATATACATGACAGTTTTTCATTTAATTTTGAAGGCATGTTCTTTTGATTTTATATTTGAATATGGTCGAATTTTTGCAATCATTTTTTTATTAACAATATAAAAAAGATTTTTCTGTATTTAAATTACCATTTTTGGTAATTCTACAAAGGTTTTAATGTAGAAACCATTGATGAGGCAAGGTCTCTTCAGAGCCTCATCAGTTACTTTTCGATTTAATTGAAGAATACTATTCTATATTAAGTAATTTACTTATAGTTATTAATTTTCTTATATAATTTTAGTTTTTTACCTCTAAATGAAGTTATAAAATATGTTTTATTAGTACAAATATTTCACTCCTAAACTAATTTCATATATTCATACTTTTAGGTCTTGAGTTTTATGGTTAATGTGGACTCCCGAATTTAGCTTTCAGACTCTTATTCACCGCCTTCATTATTTCTTTGTGCGTGCTGTGTAAACGGCAAGATAATCATAAAACATAAAACATAGCATTGCTCAAATAATTGTACTTTATAAGAGGGACACCAGCGAGCAGAGAAAGAGGTGGTGGCATGGGACCGGGCTGGGTTACAGTCATTTTTCCCATGATTGTTCTCCGTCTGCCTGGGTAATTATGGGTCACTTTTTTTTACTGGATCCCTCTCTCTCTCTCTCTCCTTTCATTCCGCAATTATAATACTTACCTGCAACTATGTTCCAGGTTCCAAAGCTGAAAGGCATAAAAGCTGGCTGGAATCAAGGCAAACTAAAAAAAAATTAATGATGCTTCTACATTTCACTAGACAAGAACGTGGAGTGGCCGGCCTGCAGGTAGCGGTCTTGTTCGGTGTTTGCTTTTGGCCAAGTCCAAGACCAGCTGGGGCTCAAAAAGTACAGCTACAGCAGAGTGCCACGAACGGAAGGAGGAGATTTCATAATCATCATAACGATGATTGTGCCGATGAAAGTAGCGATTTCAATCGAGAATCAGAGCGTTAACCGGTAGCAACTTGGAAATCAGCAGGGAACGAACTCGATCTCGCACTCATTAGCCTTAAGAGCTTTTTGCTTAGCCGGAAACCCGGCAAGAATTGCTAAATCTGCTCTGCTGAGCCGTGTGTGCCTCGATGATTGCTATAATTCAGCCCTCAGAAATTGAGTGTCTAAAAGGGTCTGGCTAAAACCGAAAACTCCCTCGAAAAGCCACATTTCAGTTGATCGACAATGGAGGCAATTAGCTCTAATTTATTTATTGCTCAATTAGACAAAAGGGCTGCGGGCTGTTAGGGCTTGGTGATATTAACAGCTTGAGTTATATTTATTTTATGTTTTGTGGTAGCCAGCTACCTGGATAATTAGATAGTAAATCCAGGAAAATACTTAAAAGTTTAAGGTAAAATTAAATAATTATGAATGATGAATGCTTGAACATTTCCTAAAGAAAATTATGTAAAAATTTAAAATTAGATTTTTAAATTAAAAAAAAAATGGTAATTATATTTTTTGATTTATTAGTAAGTTGTATTTGATTTAGAATTATTCCAGATAAACTATTAATTTAAATAATTTAAAGCTAAAAATTATTTTAAGAAAGCTCTTCCTGTATATTTAAAAACAAGTTTATTACTTACTTACATATTACAAAATTATATATTTAAGTAATAAAACTACTGTAATTTGTTATTGATTTTAATAATAGCTTCGACCTAGCTAGGCAGCCAATTACTGGAGGAGTAATGGAGGCGGCACACACAACCTCGATCAATTTGGGTCGCATTCAATCAACCTGCCGTCACGCAGTGCATCGGAATTTTCCATCCTTGGAATGCACAGCTAAAATCGACTTTATGACATTCCGATCTGATCCCCCTGGGCTACCCCTCAGCTCGTCAGTTGTGGTGGGTTGTCAATTTTATTCATGGGACTAATTAAAAATGGCACATTATTGCAATTGCGGCCCAACCTTTTCTAGACGCGTTGCCATCTAAGCTTATAGACAGAGGCACGGTTGTGCATAGTCATTAAGGTGGATCGAGGTAATAAAAAAAAAATACTGAGAATATGCAAAACCGTTTATATATTATTTTACAGAAGTTTTACTTAAATATTATTTTATGTACAAATAAAGGGGTACTTCTAATACATCTACTGATAAGTCTTAGAAAAACGCATAAACCTAAGACCAGACTGATCCACCCTATTCTCCCCCATTAATGTATATATATTTATATGTAGGCCCTGTTTATTTGTTCGTGAATATTCTTATTTATATGCAGAAACCAAGTTGAAGACAAAACGTTTCGCAGGCGACTGTAAAAGTTGGAGCTCCCCAAAGAAATTGGCACGAGCTGAGCACACGTCCCAAGCTGGGAGCTGGAGTAGGAGTTGGAGTTGGAGATGGAGTTGGAGTTGGTGATGGAGCTTGGGATGGAGGGCTGCAGATCTGGTTGGGTTGGCGTACAGTTTCTGGCTCAGCATTTTACGAGCACACTCACATATGGCGAACTCGGATCGCGCGAATCTGCGGAATCGCGGACTTCGAATTGCGAGGGGGAACCCGTTTTGTGGGCTGTGTTTGGGTCGCGTAGGCGCTCGACACACGCCCAGTTGCTCGGAGTCGAATGATGATTCTGGGATGCTGGCAGGGAGCGCGTGTGCAACGTGCCAACATCTGGTCTGGTAGTGGAGGAGATCCAGTTTGCCAGCCAGCCAGCCAGTTGCAGAATCCGCCAGAATCCGCACTGCACAGTAGCCACAGGCCAGGTCGGAACTGAGCGCAAGATAATCGATGTATACTAATTATTTGCTTTGGCTGCAACTGTTTGTCATGCTCCTCCGCTCGGTGGCTGTACACCTGGGCATCATCGGCTGGGAGTCGGTAGTACGGAGTCGGGTGTACCTGGGTACAGCAAAAACAAAAAGCACAAGCAATCCAAGACTGACGGTAGCCAACACCCGAAAGAAAACAGCAAGAGTGGACGATGGACCTGGGGATTGACACTGGAAGAAATAGTTATTTATAATAGATATTTAAAAGGTTTTTTTTTGAATCTTTAAGTATTATAGTTAAGAAAAGAATTATTACTGTTTAAATCTTCATACCTATGTAAATGTATCTCTGAACACTCGTTGGGGGTATGAAGGCAATAAGATGTACATAAATAAAGGAAGGTTTTTGTTATAATAATCCTATATTATATTAAAGTATATATATAAATAGATTCAGAGCTAACAAAAAGGTATAGTTCGAGTGTATATTCCAGTAATTATCACTATAATGATTAAAAGATCTACCTCTATCATAGACAACTTTATATTTGCCTATAACTTTCGCTGAGTGTACAAAGTGTACGAAGTCAGAGGTAGGCACAGATGCGAAATTCTGAGTTCCTGAGTGCCACTGCCCCCGTGTGCGAGCTGGAACTGAGCAAATATATCGCCGTCAGCTAAAATAATGGTCATCGACAGCAGCCGAAGTAGCAGCAGCAGCAACAACAGCAGCAGCAGCCAAGGGAGCAACAGGAGTTGTTTTCTTGGGCAAGGTTGCGGATGATTCTGAGTTTTGTGGAAAGGGAATGGGCATGGTTCTGGGTTTCGGGAAGGGTATAGGTATAGGTATAGGTATAGGCAAGGGTCCAGACTCTGCACGGTAGTCAAGTTTAGACACCTTAAGTACACAGGAAAGCGTCATTTATGCGCTCGTTTTCAAAAACGACAAGCACAGGGCGTGGCAAAAGGGGGGAACTATTTTTTTTTTTGCTCGGAGTGAAAAGGGAGTTGCTCCTGATGATGCTGCTGCTTCTGCTGCCTCGGGTTTATTAACGATTAATTACACAGTCCGAAGATCAGTTTAAAAGCCGGCCAAATTATAGATATCCGCAGCTGCAACAGATTGCTGCCGTTGCACTGCGGCAAGGTCAAATCAGTGACTAATGCTGCAGGTTGCAGGTTGCATGCTCCCAGTTGCATGTTGCTCAACCTCAGATCGATTTCAATCAGCCGTGCAACTTGTGCCTTTTCAAACAAACAACAAAAAAGTACAGTCCACCGGGATATAGCAACAACATCACAGCAGCAGCAGCAGCAGCAGCAACATCAACAGAGCAGAGCTGAGCCGGGAGAGAGGTTCAGTACGTCAAGTTTTCGTTTGGCTTTGGCCAGCTTTTGATTTGGCCGAGACGTGTGGCAAGCCCAGGTCGAGAAAACAGGTTTGTGATTTCAGTTTTCAGATTTGGGAGCTGCGAAAAAAGTTCAACAACTGCTGCAGATGTTGTTGATCTCGTGCTCGTGTTGTTGCTTTTGCTGTTGCTGCTGCTGCTGCTGCGGCTGCTGCGGCTGCTGATGTGCTGCGGAGGTTGCTCTCGAGTCAATGCAAAGACAAGTAGCCGAGAGACAACGACAAACGAGCGAACGTTGCGTAAATTACACGAGAGAATAAGAGAAACACGAAGCTTAAAAAAACACTAAACAACGTCAAGAAATGGAAAAGCATTCACTGAGAGAAACAAATTTATAAAATGTAATCTGAAGGCTTTAAAAATTGTGATTCTTATTCTATTAAATCAAAAATTGTATACTATTGGCAAATAAAATATTACGTAAATTATTAATTATTAAATTTGTTGAACATGTTCTATAACAGCTTTTGTTATATAGTCGTACTATCCTTGGATATCTTTACATATTCCCGAAAGTCTAGTCTACTTAGTTCTGTAACTGAAAGAGGTGTAGAATTTGACGGACAGACAGATAACGGACAGACGGACAAACGGACAGACAGAACAAACGGGCAGAGGTACGGTTACAAGAATGGAAAGGATACAGAAACGGACAAAGGAACGGACAAGACGGACATGTCTAGATCGATTCAGTTTTTGATGTTGATCACGAATTTGTATAAATATTATATTATACAATCAAGAAGCAATACTAACAGATGTAATAATGTAAAATATAAAAGTAAATATTTTTATTTATGGGAAAGAATATATAAAAGATCAGATAATTATAATTTAGTAGCAAGTCAATGTTTTTTTCTCTGCAAAACAACAACAAAACATTGAAAAAACCAACAGCCAAGTAAATAAAAAACTGCAACAACCGAAAGCCACAAATCAATATTCTTTTATGATCGACTGTAGTCGACCTCAATTATTAAATGGCCAAGTTTGCCGAGATCTCTCTATCTGTCTCTTTCGGCTGTTTCTCCTTCTCCTTTTAAAAACAAATCCCCATCTCTTTTCCCCCGGTTTGTTCTCTTTTTCTAACGCTCTTTTGTGGATTCCATTGGCCATAATATAGCAAAGTGCGTTAATTTGTGGGAAAGTGGGTCAGACACACACCGAATTTCAAATTTCGGTTCATCGAACACACAAATAACGCCCGTGAGTGTGCGTATGTGTTGGAATGTGTGAGCTTCGGGTCTCCATCATCATCCCCCTTGCCATATAGTATTCGTTCCCCTTCGATCACACAAATGACGCATTGGATCGCGTATATCTTTTTTTGGATACGCCATTGTGTGTAGGGTATATCGGTTGGGGTATCGTATCGGTTCGTATATTGCATTATTTGAACTGTGTCGCACTGCGCTTTAAGCAGCGATAGATAAGATAGGGAGTAACTTTGTTGCCCCCGCGGGTTCTTGACCCCATTCCGTGTTTCCATTTTGTAATATTCAAATTGTACTATATGTCGAGCCCATAATGACGATGTAGTAATAAAGATAAACACGTGTGTGTGTGGTTTGATAACGAAATAATGCTTTCGCGTTAAAGATTACATCAAGAGCTCTTGGGCAAACATCGAATAAGGCAGCAAGGGTTAAGGTGATTTAAGTAATTGTAGGTTAAGTTTTGTGGGTCTTTCTTAACTTATACTTATTATTTGATGTATAAATACATTTTTAGTAAGTTATTTTAACAACATTTAAGTAGTTTCATAAAGTCTACATATATTGTTTTCCTCCAAAATTAAAACCAATTTTTTTAAATTAATCATACGACATGTTGGACAGAGGAAACAAAACTCAAAATAGAGCACAATTGTTGTATAATTTTTCACACGTAGGGCATCTCGAAATTCGTGAAAGTTTGTTCTTACTTAAAGTTAAGCAACTTGTTGTTTGGGCTTTGTAGGTTTTTAGGCCAAAAACGGGTATTCGGCATTTGCTGTTTTTGGTATGTGGGTACATATACTTACGTACAAGAGCTGAGAGACGGGGTCACACCCTTGCTCCCCGTAATTCTCCTCCCTCTGAAGACACGAACTTCTACAGATGTTTTGCTTTTTCTTGGCAATCGTACAGTGTTCCCCGGGTATTGTTCGCGTATCTGTCGCCCACTTAATTTACTATGCACTCTGAAAGTATGTTTGAGTATTATGTAGTACGAGTTCAGAGCCATAATAAAAGCATTCACAATGGGGGAATTTATCGTTCTCATTCTGAACTGGCAAAGTGTCTAGACTCCTCCAACTCTTTTGCTCCACAAATGAAGTTCAAACATCGTTCGGGCACGCTTGTTTACTGAGAAGGGGCTTGAGCTCCCCCCTCAAAAAATAAGTCTTAGAACTTTTTCCCCCTTCCAATTTCTATATTCCCTCAAATTTTATAACAAATGAAGTTGTTATTTCGTATGTGTCACGTTTGCCAGCACACGATCGGCTTGTATTGCCCACGTTTAGAGTCGGTTGTCGGTGATTGTGATTGTGGTTTCTATTTTGGTTCCGCCGATTCGTATAGTAAGTGAAAGTATGTGGAACATGACGTAGTAGCCGTAGGCCCAGTGTTGTTTGGCTTCTGCCGGCGGCTTCTGTGGATCTCCACAAAAGGTCAAAGTGTTTGCCGCCGTGTTTGCTCACCTGCTCTCACATGATAAGAGCCACAGATTGCAGCCAAGTTGGCAGCCATTGAGGGGGAGTAATGGATGTTGTAATACCTCTTGATTTTAAAATTAGCAGAAGTCTTCTGAGATCTTTAGAAAATTTGTAATTATTTGTTCTATGATTTGTCATTTTATATTGATTTATTTAAAGTACATTTTCTAGTTTATTTATTCAAAATAGCTCTTGCATTCTTTCACAAAATGGTTTGATAATTTTTTCAACTGCCTCTTCCAGCTATTAAAAACGATAATTCTGAGTAATAAGTATACCCTGGCTCCCACATTATCTTCGGAGTGCCAGTGTAATATGATTGTTGATTGTTGACTGCGTCGCTAGTTACATGTGTACTGTTTTGAAATGGGGGAATGGGGACTCTGGATTGGGGGTACGAGTACGAGTACATGCCACTGCGACTTTTTACCCGGCGGCATCTTTCAACTGGCGGCAGAGGCATCCCGGCAATGCAGCAGCTCCAGCAGCTCCCAGCTGGTGCCAGGTCTCAACCCCAACTCCAACTCTTATGGGTAGTCTCAGAACAATTCCAGTCCCAATCCAGGTACCAGCGCGAGCTTCCGAACTAATTACATTGCAAAATACCTGAAATGTTGCGAAAGGCAGGAAATCAGCGAAACGGGAGTGCTGGGTTACTCTGGAATGGAATGGTTCTGGGTCTGGGTCTGGACAAACCGCGCCAGTGATCAGATCGCGATCTCTCCTACCTTTGCTGGCCGGAAATATGCATGGCTTGGCCAGCTTTTGGCCAGCTCCAAACGCAAAAAATTTGAATGTGCTCTCGTCACTGTCAGGGATTGGGAAGATCCCCACCAGCGCAACACAGTAGAGAGCAACCTCATCCCAATCCCCTCGTGCTCAGCGGAGCAGAGAGCTTGGAAATTAATTCAGTTGCAGGCCAAGGCGCGTATTTCTGCCGTTGTGTTTGCTTTTGTTTCCATTTCGCCACCGTCGCCAGCACTCACGGGTCAGTTGGGATCGAATCCCGGGTTCAGATGCCGCCTCGCTCCCATATATAACCTCTCCGGTATACGATTATATATATAGTATTTTCCATACATATATAATAGGCGTGACAAGCGCGCTACGCTCCGCTGACGCCCAAAAATAATCAAAGACAAAGGCTTGAGTCGAGTCGAGATGGCGATGACTATCAAGTGATGGACTGAAGTGGGGGAGGGCATTACACTGGGAAAAATATAATACAACTTTTATAAAATCTGAATAATAAAATCAAGTTGGATGGATGAGGATTTCCGTACCAGAGAACTCATTGCCCTGACAAAACCTTGTTAGAAAAATATTCTGTTAAATATCGAAAATATCGATATTTTATCGAAAAATTTTAGATATTTGTCTAGAATGATTTTTAAACACCTCAGTATTTTCTTTTAGTGTAAAAGCACTAGTTGGGGTGGAGGTTCAAAGTAGCGGGTGTACCCAAGGGATGGGGGAGGTATGATAATTACACCATGTCAGACGTGAAATTTCAATTTTTTTCTTCTCATTTTTTTGTTGCTCATTCCCATTTCTTTAATTTCTTGTTGGACGCTTAACGAGCTCATCTCGAAGGCAGTCCGAAAATTGTATCAAAATGTGTCTTGTGGTAAGAGAGATATAATGAACGATAATGAACTCGGGGAGGTTCAGGTGAACTTTGTGGAGGTTGAACTCACCTGTGGAGCTACAGAAAGCACCCGCACCCGAAAGAGAAATGTTATTAATTATAGTTTTTATTAAATGCCTAAACTAATAATTTTTCTAATTAACTATAAAGCTTCACATTTAAATCTTATCCTGAAACTGACTTTTAATTTCTTCAGAAGCCTCGAAGCCACCTGTAATGCCAAACTGCAGCAGTATAAAGAGATATGATATAATGGCAGAGAGGATCATCAGGATGAATTCGTTGTTTAGGTGAAAGAAACCCAAGACCTTGATCTCCAAACGCTGTGTTTGTTGCTGAGCCAGAAAGGTTTCCACCTGAAAGAAATACTTAAGAGAATCTATTGTGTAAAGATAAACCCTGCTTAAACTCACACTCTTATCCCAGCGCTGATCCATATCGGTGCAAAGTATATCTAAAGGCAACCTCTTGGGCTTCTGGGACTCCCTAACCGTATAGTCGGCACACATTATCAGCAGGACCAAGTTGGCCAACTTAACCCAAGCCATGACCAAGGACACCAGAGCCATTTCATTTTCGTTGAGATGCCGCAAAATGCACTGATAAAGCAGCAGGCAAATATTAATAAAGTTATAGTAAACATAAAACAGGATTTGCCACTGCAACATTTTTCTAAAAGCCTGAGTAACTTCATAGAGTTCACTATATATTACGGCAAACACGTCCAACTCATCGGCATAGTCGCACAGGAGTCGCATCCTGCGATAGTGACTCATACGCTCCTCCTGGGACTCAATGGGCTCCATTTTCTTCAACATAGCCATTATATTATCCGCCATGTGCTCATAAAGGATTCCGGAGACGAGAAATCCCAGGAAGCAGGCATCCAGGACGAATATCGTGCCCAGCCACATGTACATGCCAAAGCAGACGGCCACCGTTCGAATAATTTCCGAAAAATTCTCGACACTCAGAAGGGGTATCAGTTCATGGAAGCAACCGCATAGCGTGAAGAATAGTTTTAGCAGAAAGAAAACCACAAACTTTAAAGAAAACAACTGCTGCAATCGAGTGGCCGCACAAATCCTTTGGTACAGCGCTAAATATCTATTTAACACCTCACGGAATTGGTTTTCGCCCTTCGCCTGGATTATAAAGGATACAACTGCCAAAACCGAAACTGACAGAGCCTGAAGCGTGGCAAAGAGATCGGCATAACTCTCGGGTGTGCTGCCAATAATCTGTTCGGACATCGTTGGCCATACTCCTGCGTAAATGATAACCACCAGACAGCGCCACAGGATGTTGAGGATACGATTGCTACCGCCACGTTTGGGTTCCCGCAACTGGAGCCTGTCCAGGTCCAACTTGGAGGAGAGCAGGGACAGGCAACGCGCGGAGCGATAGAGCCAAAGGAGCAGGAATCGCGACCAACTCTCCACTCTGTGTTTGGCCATCGTCAAGCCCCAACTGAACGCGGCTAATGACAGGTCCTGCGATATATATATACATATATATATATATTCCGATAAGGAGCCCTTCTCCTCCAACTGGCTGTTGATTTTATTAATTGAATGTGTGGATATCGGCAATTGCCATTCACGCTCCGCTGAGTGCTTCGCTGACTGATTGGCCCCAGTCCTCCTTCAGAGTCGTCGGTCCCCAGACCATAACAACAATCGGCAATCGATGATGATGGACAGGCCAGCCTCGGTACCCAGATCCACAGGGCCTTAGCCTGGGTCTGGGCCTGGTACTCGCCCTTTAGGCACACACAACAGATGGTGCTCGAGAAATGAAACCATCAACGGGCACAACAAAAAAACAGGGCGTAAATTGATATTTATGCCCGTGTCAATAAAGTTGTTTTGGGTTGATGGACATACACAAAAAATCAGCCTAAAATTTGTATAGGAATTTTGTAATGAGGTGAATGGACGCGAGTTTAGAGGAATTTAAACAGGGAAAATTTCTACCAATTATTCCCAGAAAAATTATGGATTTTATATCAGAAAGTATTCTTGAATTCTTGGATATTTTTCATGCGTAATACAATTTATTGAAAAATTCATATTATGTTGTAATTTATTTATAATTTGTATTTATTATTCAGACTTGTATCAACAAATATTATTACCTAGAAAATAAATCAACATTGATATAGCATTATTTATGAGGTGTTACACATTTTCTATTCTGTTGATTTATTACATATTGTTCAACTAATTGTTTGTATTTATCAACCAGAAACAAGCCAATAATCAGTCGCCTTTATTTATAACTATTTAGTTACGTTAATTCTATTCATTATCTCGATTCTCCTAATTCGTTTGTTAACACCTAATCTGTTAAGGGGAGCATACACACAAGTTCAAAAGCAAACAATTAAGTTTCCATTAACCTACATAAATTGATAATTCAAGAGAGATACGACACTACAAATATCATTGGGTGTTTTAAAATGTCTAATTAAAAAGTCATAAAAGGTTGCTTTTTTTTATGTGATTAGGTTATAAATAGATACTTTTTATTATTACTTTTTAAAAATAGTCAAATTTTAAATTAAAGTCCAAGAAAAGGTAATAAATATACTATATTTAATTTAAACTATTATTCACTTATATATTTTACAAGATATACAATTTATTATCGTAAAAAGAAAATCAATTAACCGCGATATTTAACTCTTTTGATATTTTAATATTTTCAAAAAACATTTCCAAGTCTCAAAAGAGTACTTATGAATTCATATGCAAACAATTGCTATGCTACAAATATTATTTAAATGTTATTACTTATCAGGAAAACTATGTTTATGGCTGCACTGAAAACCTCGACCCGATTCCCATTTTGTTTTCATTTAAATCGCATTACTTGAGCCATAAGTTCGATTTTCCCTTAACGCTTGAATGCGAATTTTATTTCAGTTTAAATTCACTCGGCGGCAATTAGCGTGGCGATGACTTCTCCATGGAGATTGGAGGAGTAGAAGTCGGAGCTGAAATTGAAGTTGGAGTTGGAGTCGGGGGCAGATGGAGCAGCACACCCATTTTCCAATTTCCCCACACTCCAAAATGGATTGCAAGTTGCCAAACACGTTTGCCGAGCATTAGAATAGCTCCACACACAGAGTCAACGAACTTGGAGGCGCAGCTGGACGACCAAAAGCTGGGAGCTGGAGTGGTTTTCCAATATAGGGATTTTTTTAGTTTTTTTTTTTTTTTTTGTTCAGAGAACCCAGAAGGAAGTGGGGGCCTGGCAATAGAAAAACAACGGAGTCAACAGCCTTCAGCAAATCCAGTTGGAAGTCGCGAGTTGCTGTCTGCCACATCGGCGATCAGCAACCAGCAACACAGGTCTAGTCCTGCTCCGATCAACAGCAACTATAGCCACTTTAACGACGACGACTCCAATGTGGATGTGGCTCCGAGGAGGAGCTGGCAGCTCTTGGCTGGAAATGGGCGTGCAACAAGCCTGGGCCCCCAATAACTGGTTTTCCTAGATAGATATAGACAGATAACACTGGCTAGAAAGTCGCTGCCCGGCTCCAAGTATCCCATCCAACTTGCAACAGCATCCTGCAACCAGTTTACGTACAGTTCGGGTCCGTGTTATTACAGTCCCAAGTACATGGAGTAATTGCATGGAGCATGGAGCATGGATCAGGCCTGACCCCAGTCCCCAGTCCCAAGTCCCAGTGCCCGTGATGATGACCAAGCCGGTGATGGAGATCGGTGATGGGTTGGGGGAGGCACAGGCAGAAATTACTTAAAATATTTTTAAGTTGTGATTAATTACAAGTAAATAATAACTAAATATAACTAAAATAAAGACTATTTTATTTTCTAGGAATATTAAACTTGAGATTTGAAACTTTTTTATCCTTAAACTATAATTTAGATTAATTACCTATGTACTTTTCGCTCTGTGTACAAATGTAGTAAGATGCTAGTATGATGCTAGCTGCTGCATCTGTGCTGCGGCCAATGAACCGATGGAAAGACAATAGGAGCAGGTCCCGGGCCAAGAGCCCGAGCCCGAGCCCGAGCCCAACCCATCCCCGATCTTGGACAGAGGCAGGGGCTATATAGCTGCAGCTCTATAGCTACAGAGCTGCACAGATACGGATGCTTATGCTCCGAGCTGTATGCTCCACGCCTGCCGCTGTGTTGTTTTGCTAAATTGGAAATAATTGCCCCAAGGCAGCGGCAGAATGCACGTGTGCACTTGTCAGGAGCGATGGCAAAACATATTTTTAAGGGGATAAAAAAGCTCCTTTACTTGGAAAGTGATATAACAAGATATGGAATAATTTAAGAAAATATATAGATATATTTCAAGGCCAGTTGAGATATAATAAGAAGGGTTGTTTTAAATGTAAACAAAGTGTTAAATAATCTATCATCAATCTTTGTTTTATTGTGTAATTAATGTGATTAAAATTTTTTAATTGAATCTAGACCCCGTTGGGAATTATTTTGCAAAGCCAGCCACAAGTCCAGCTCAACCTCGAATCATCAAAAATCTTCTTTCATTATAAACACAAATATTTAAGTGATGTTAAAGAGCAACATTTTACAGGTTGTTCTTAATATTTTTGAACTCGCTTTCAAGGGGAGTGCTCTGAGCCCCCGCAACCCCCCACTGGCTTGCGCCTATGCCCGCCTGTTGCTGCTGTGCTGCTGTTATCATTGTCATCGGTTGTTGTTGCGATGACATAAAGTGAGCTGTGATGAACAGAGGAGAAAGGGGCAAGGAGGCGAGCAGTGAGAGAGGGAGCTCGGATCAGAGAGAATCTGCAAAGGCAACGGGGAAAAATAAACACAATGGGGCAAAAGCGGAGAGTCGCGCAAAATAATAATAACAATAAAGTTGTGTACGGCAATAATAAAAAGTACAGGAAAGGTTCAACGACATTAGGAGATTAGAGAGCATTCACATGCGACTCTACGCGACAGCAACCACAGCCCCCGGAGAGAGTGGATACCGAATGCACATTTACATATATGTAAGTGTAAGGAGGAAAGAGCACGAAAGAAAAGAGAGAGGATCCCCATGGAAAGCAACAAAAACGAAAAGGAAAAGAAAGAACACAACGTCAACGCATAGAGCACAAAAAAAAAAAGAAAAAAACAAAAAAGTCATCGACATCACATGGATTTTTTTGTTGATGTATCAGAGAAGGGTTAACAGAGGGGAGGCATTACAAGGAGGTTGGGAGCGGCGCAAGGACGGGGTCGGGGTCGGGGAGTTGAGAGTCAGGGGCAGGAACAGCAGAAGCAACTAAAAAAAAACAGAGACAGCGACAGGAAAATGTTTTTCATTGTCTATGCCCGTTGGAGAAAAACTAAAAGCAGCCAGATGGAGCCTCTGGGTCACACTGAGAAAAACTAAAGACTATATAAAATACTTGAATACCTATTGTTTATATTTTTATAAACAATAAACTCTATTAAAATCAAAGTTATGTAATGAAAATAGCCAGAAACTAGAACTCTACCCTGTAGTAAAATGTTTTAAAATTTAAATTAATTGAAATCTACGCTTTAAGCATTTATTTATTCGCTCAGTGCAGAAGTTGGAGTCATTACAGTTGCGGGAGACATGCCCCATGCGTTTGCATAAGCAGCAGTAACAAAGACAGAAATAGGAAAGAGCACTGAAAAAAAACTAATGGAAGGGGGGCAGTACGTCAACCCATGCAAATCCTGCACTTTCGACTCCCCAGTACCTCCCTCCCTCCCCCCCACACACACACACTCTTCGTCATGGTACCCCCTCGGCTACTTGGCATTTTGGCGTGTGTTGCAGAAAAATGCCTCACTTGGATGCGTTGCTATTTGCAGCCTCAAAAAAACAGATACAGCTTCACATAAAGATCCCGATCCCGATCCCGATCCGGATCCAGATGCAACCCCTGCATAGCTGGCAGGGCTAGAAGACGGCGGCATTTGCTTACACTCAATTTGGATATTTAATTACGAGTGTGGATGGGGAGTGGGGGAATCTTTGGGCCCATCATCAGTCGCCTGGTGGTCGTCAATAAAAAGAAAAAAAATAGTTGGGAGTGGAACGGGGGAAAATACTTAAGGCGGAAGTTTATATACACTTTATTTTGAAATCTTTTTTTTTTAGTAATAATGTATAAATTAGTTGCTGCTGAATTTTCACTTGGATTTATAGTTAAATTTCAGGAGATACTTGTAGTGAAGGTTTCCTTACTTTGAGTTTGAAATATTGTAGTCTTCTAAAATATTATTCAGATCACTTACTTTTCTTATCAATAAATATGACTTCTATAATTTCCGAACAACCTTAGTGTCTTAGCCAATATACCCCGAGTTACCAACGAGAAAAGGGTTAGGGCACAAGTGCAGAGAGATGCTGTTGTTCAATTTGATTAGGTTTTCAAAAATCAATTCTCCCAAAGGCAACGGAATTTATTTGTTTTGCCGCC